AAAAAAAAAAAAAAAAAAAAAAAAAAATGCGATTAATCTCGAGTTAACTGTTGATACTATGCGATTAATCGCGATTAAAATTTTTAATAGTTTGACAGCACTAATTAAAAGTATATATGTGTTTTTTTTCATCTTTTTTATTAGAAAAATTTATTTTAAAAGAAAAGGTACAACTATATACAGTGAACAACATTGTCATTCGTTTATAGAAAAACCACAAAAACTTATTACAAACCCATTTCAACGAAAATACTTCCCCTCTTAATTATATACAGTGGAAAAATTAATGTTTATGCACTACGATTAATCAAATTGTCCGGTCTTGAAAATATTTGCATTTAGTGAGCAGTCCGAAAATGTCCTGTGAAAGTTGTTTGTCGATGCTTTTGAGTGTTTTACTGTGGTTCTTAAAAAGTCCTAAGAACAGTTTCCAGCAGTCCAGTGATTTATTTTCAAAAAGTTTATGGTTCCTGCAAATGTATATTGAGTGTCTTGCGAGAGAAAGGATCATATTGCTTAAGGTGTGCAGATGAAAAGAATGCTGTCTTTTTTTCACTTGTTCCAAAAAGTCACATCCATTCCCACTCTTTGTTGCCTTTGCTGATGCCTGGTTCCAAACCTTCTATGACCTCACCAATCTTGTTCTATACCTCAGTGTTTCAGAGGAGCTACTGCGCATGTACAACTTTTAACGAGAGTCAATGGGCAAAGATTTCTGCCCCCTAGGGCGGAAATACGTCACCAATCTGAAGAAAAATGAGGTGACGCTTTACTCCTCATTAAAGATTAAATATTTATCTTGCACATCTAAAAATATATATCAATTTATTTTTAAATATTTATTTAATATTTACATATTACTCTAAAATTAAATTAGTATGTATATATATTTTTTTTATGTGTTCATCAGGGCCATTGGGTGGGAGGGGCGGCGCTTGATACCTGAAACAGGCTTAAAGGCTCGTCAGTAGCTGACCAATCAGCGACATTGATTTGTCCCAAGGTGAAACAGCCCTCCCCTGCAGGACAGCATGCTGACAACATTATCAGGGTTCTGCATTAGGAAGGCCTAACGTCGGAGTTTTATAATAAAAGGCTGAATGTTGTCAGTGGGGAGCATGTAATGCAGGAAAACATTACCCAAAGTATTTAGAGGATTAAAGACAGTTAATTCTTTCAAAAACAAAAAGGTAGTCTAGGAAAATGTAAAATAAGAATGTGACTTACAGTTCATCAATTAGATTACAATAAAAACAATGTTTTCTTTGTTTAAAGAAATTTTATAGAAGGCAACATGCTGCAATGGGCTTTAAATATCGATATACAGCCTGATAAATAGATGCTTCATTTCCCACCTCGTCTCATGTCTGTCCTTTATTCACTCTGATGCGTTTGTAACCAACAGTGATGGGCGTTACTAACGCCGTTACCTTGTTTTAGTAACGAGTAATCTAACTAATTACTTTGACTGTAACTTTAATGCAGTTACCATTGCAGACACCCCGTTACTGCGCGTTACTCAGGTCGCACA